ACGTGTACTTATTCAACATTTTACCCCGGAAATACTTCGGCATAGACACCATACATAAGGGTCGGAACTCTACATGTTTATAAGAATGGCTCGTTATTATCAGAACATACCTAGAACTTCCTTGCACGAGAATGTTTTAACACTTTAACCCACGCCAGTGGATGCCTTACATCTCACAAAAACCAAGAAGTGGTCATTTTTTATCGTATGCGTGGAGCTCTGATTGGCTATATTTCATCGTTATTATGTACATGGTTAATGGCGATAAAACACGAGTAGAATCTCTCTTTTGGATTATACATGTCTAGGTGTTATATCCGCTGGACATATATGCCTGTTTCAATACGCTAGTTTATTACTTAATATTCAAACAAACGCTTTATATTGTTATAGTTTTAAAACATGACGGGATGGCTAAGTGCCTTTATATTTCCCAATGCAAAGGAAACCAAAATAAAAAAAAAGTAAAGTTTGCAGACTCGGAAGTGAGCTAAGTATTAACTGAGTCTAGATCAGGTTTAGTTCAAGAACAGCATGTGATGTGACCACATTCTGACAGAATTGTGGAAGTGTAGGTACAGATGCGTCTACAAATGCTGATCAAAATCGTTGACCGTGTATGCGGTGATGGCTGACAGTACCACACCGTCGATTGTCTTCAAACTTGTTTTAACATTTTTTTTTTAATTTCTTTACTGCAAAACGTTGGTTGCATATTTTGTGATTTTCTGTGCTACTTCTCACTTTAAATGGTTGCAAAAAAGTAAATATACATCGGAGTTTTACTTTGTGTATTCTTTTAAAAGAAATACTTATCTTTAAACTTTCTGAATCGTTTGAAAGGAAGACTTTATTTTTACACTTTCTGAATCGAAAAGAAGACTTTATTTGTTTATAAATAATTTTATTCACAAAAATTGAATTATATTGGGCAGCAGACAAAGCCTATCCCAGATAGCAAGACTACATCGGGCCAACGTTGGTTGATGGTTGGTAGGTTGGTATAGTGTTGGCGTTGGACGGTAAATGTTGGCCCAACATTGGCCCAACGGATGATATGTTGGCGTGAAAGCTGGTCCATCGGTGTTGGGTATGCGATGTTGGGCCAATGTTGGTCCATTGTAGTAAATGTTGGCATGAAACATGACCATTATATGTTGGGCATTTGATGTTGGCCCAACGTAGGTCCAACCAAGTAGATGTTGGCTTAAAACAAAGCCACTGTGTGTTGGGATGTAATGTTGGCCCAACATAGGGCCAACCAAGTAATGTTGACATGAAACACATGAAATGTGTGTTGGGCATGTAATGTTGGTCCAATGTTGGCCCAACGTAGTAAATTTTGATTATAATGAGGTATTGATATGGCTTTCAACGTTGGCCCAGCGTTGGTTCAACGGAGTGAATATTGGGATAAAATCAACTTTCATTAACATACATATGGGTGATCTGTTAATTACACATATTAAATTTGTATCTTTTAGAACCAATTAAGCTTCTTTCAATAGAAACATTTCATCTTTCGTTAAAATATTATGAACAATGGATTATCTTAATAGCCCATTTATTAATAATTCACAGTGTATGTGTTAATAAAAATGAAAAATTATTCCAGAACCTAATTTATGAAAATAAGATTTTTAATACTGATTTATGTTTTTAATTTGTGTCCGAGACCATTGCAAATACATGTAGAAAGTTTTAATTATTCTGCACAGTATATAATTTTGTAGATTCTATATTTAGCATCATGGAACTTAAAGTGCTGAATTTTAGAGCTCCAAATAATTAGGTCAGTGGTGAAATCCACTGGCTCAGCAGGTGACTGGCCGGTTTCCTAGGAAACAGGCATCCTAATCAGCTCTGTTTCGTAAACTCGGAGTGGTCACATCTTATCACTTGCAACACTTGAACAAAGCATATACATGTGCGTGTCCGTTTTGAATCGCAAGACAGAGAAAATGGATTGTTTTAGCCCTTGAAATGTAAGTATAGTCGTTTTAGGTGTGATTGATAGAATTTTATCTCTGTGAAAGTTTTAACTTGAGCATAGTTTGTAAAATTGAACAAGTTATTTAAGAATTGCAATTTTCAAAATGTGCATGTATATTTACTAGTAATCTCTTTAGTTATAACTTATAAGTAGTAAGTGACATCATTTTTGAACGGATTAAACTGATAAATTTTTCATATCATTTATAGCATCTGGTGGGGAGAAAACCCTTTGTGTTACAAGGCCATTGATGTTTGGAATGTAATGGACAGTGAGTGATTTATCTCAATTATCAGTGTGAGAGACATGGATTTTACAGACAAAGAAACAATAACATGAACAGGAAAAAAGGAGTGAATGGTTCAGAAGTAATATGGGCAGGAGAACATTCCAAAGTTTCACAAATTTGAACACTGGGACTCTTATTCTAGAGGAATATTATAAAGTGACTGAAGTGATATGGGATAGACTTAAGAAAACATTGAACTACCTTTATTTCCCTCTGTTGATTTCATTCCATAGGAGTGAGAAAAAAATTGAACATTTGTTTGAGGAACAAAATTTAACATGCAGGATTTATTCAATCAATTGTGTGTTTTACTCATAATTATGGAAATAAAAAGGTTACAGGAATTCATATTGTTGAACCAAAATAATTCAATCGCCGATCATTTGCCAACATGTTTATAGAACGTAGTGCCAACGTTGGTCCAACATTCATTCTTAGCTTTAAAAAACATTGAACCAACATTGGGCCAACAGGAAGTTAAACGTTGGGCCATTGTTGGGCCAATGCCAGATAACCAACCATCGAATGTTGGCCCAACGTCGAGCCAACATGTTGGTTGAACGTAGGGCCGATGAGCAAGATGATGTTGGGCCAACGCATAAAACTGACAGAGGGCCAACGCAATTTTCACCGTTGGGCTTGCGTTGGCCCAACGTAAGCTTGCTATCTGGGATTTTAGCCCTCTCCCTACAACAAGGAAGACTTGTTTTGCGTTTGTACAATTGTCCAGCACTGCACCTGTATGCCAGGGTCAAGGGCAAGATTTTTCTGGACAGTTAAATTTAGTGTTTCAGACAATACATGTATTTGGATCATTTAGTGAGGAATCTCTTCTGCACGCGCGATAATGAAATGTTTGCGTGATTATATAGCTATGGTTCCCATTCACAGATTGATTTAAGGATCATTAAGGTGCCTTGGATTTTTTTTTACAGAAATTTTCTGTTTGTTTGCTTTGCACCTATGATAATATGTCATAGACCTTATTCTGGATTAAACCCGAATTTCACACACTGTATATATCTGTTCATTGAATTCAGTCTTTGAATTTACCAAACACTTTAAATGAATTGTAAGAAGAGATAGACATCGATGTCCAGCATCGTCTCCGCTCCCCAAACATTAATGAAACTGAATAAAACAGGAAGAATCAAACAGAGACCAGCGTGACAAGAAACAGTATTTCATACTGAAATGCTGCGGATAATCAGTTTATATATTTTGCCTTTTTGTGATGAGGGTTGCATGGTGAACACGATTTCCTAGATATCCTATTAATTCAGCCACACCCTCATCCTTACCCACCCGCAATATTTTTAATCCATGTTCAATATTTACTGAAAATTCCGAAAAAATATAGATATTCACATCTTTCGCTTTAACCGAATAACTTAACATTACGATTTACACATTTAGAAAATTATAATACGATTGTGAATTGTGAGTAAAAGATATTTCTCTCCCCAATAATCACAGATATACTTAGATTGACCAGAGAAAATTCTTTCTGTGGTTAATAAATCTCATCCTCCCAAGCACGAAGCCGATTATATAAATCATTTGCTCTTTTCGATAGATTGTTTCCTAAGCTTTCCAGTATTTAACACGGAAACATTGACTGACGCTGTATTCTTTCAAAACAAATGACTCAAAATTTACGCAATCCATCTCATAATGGTGCAAAAGAGTTGATTAAGTAAATCTACAGCCAGTCTCCTCAATTGAGATATATTTTCTCAAACTGTTTTAAAAGCAAGTGCACTTTTATAAACTTTAAGACGTCTTAGCAATTAATTATAGGTATTGAAAAGCACAGACCAAAATTAATAGTAAAATTTTCAAATTTTTCAAGACCTTGGCATATCAGATGAAGGATAAAACAAACAAAATCTGACGGCATCACAGGAAAAATCGGGGATATATTGAATTGTTCCGAACATTTGTGAGGGAATCTTGCTGAACTTTCTTCTACAGAAATAATTTAAATAGTACGATGATGGGGAAATCTGTAAGCAACATTTATTTCGATAAAGAAACAAAATAAGAGACACACAATACTTAGAGCATCCTTCACTTTCAGAAGTTATATTTATTTAAGACATTTCCTTAGGGAAGAAAACAAACTGTGACATGATCATGTGTTTTTAATTTTTAAGCTGAAAAATCTATACGATGCCGCAATGAAAGAAATTTTGAGAAGATGCAGATGCAATTTTTTTTATTATTCAGGAGTCAAATAAATAATTGTTATATTGTACGTGTTTTAACAAAAGCGACTTTTCTACACAGTATTGCATTGCATCTCATGGGACTTAGGCTGGATATTCGTATTCAGTTTCCAGTATATTGACGTGAACTCAAAAATTCAATTATTTGTTCTGTAGTGTTATCATGGGTTCTTAATTCTCACAAATTATTCATATTAGCATACTCTGTTTCCGATTCAAATGGAATTTGAGTAGCGGATTATTGAAAATGTTCACTCTCTCTTTTATAAGTAATATTTTTAATACATATATGAAGCTTACTGCGACCGTTTAACAATCGACCGCATATGAATAACCTAGATATATAAAACTTTATAAAAACGGATGCGAACTTCCGAGAATAAATGCTCACAAAAATATTAGTTGGATAGAAAAAAAATACCAATTATATTAAATTGCGAAAATACAATGCATTTTTTCAGACTTAAAATATACGAATATCGATGCTCACCTTTGAGGCTGGTTTCTGTTTTCCAAAATCCAGGAAATAATGAATGGATCCAGAACGTGAAACCAAGCAACCTTTCAGGCCGTGTACCGAATGAGATCTGGATCAAGTGCGCGCTTGTTGATACAGCTAACAAACATACGCCACATCGGAGTAGTGTTGTCCCTGTGATATTGTAGGTGTAGCAAATCAAGCGTCTGAACAACTATTTAATTTGACCTTTGACATTGAATCTACTTCTGCTTATAAATATCAAACATTGTAGAAACACGTTTGTACTTTTTTGCCTCATTTGAAGTTAAAGATCCCAAGCATGCGCAATGGCTTTTGATGGTTCTGGAGCTGTTAAATGAGGTGAATTAAAACTGTATTTGAACAACACGGCGCATGTAAAGGATAGTATTTTTAGATCCCTAATGAAAGCCAAAATAGAACAAAAAAAAGTCAATGAAACAATGAGCTAATTAAAAAAAGTTCCATGGCCCTAACAATTATAAAATGTTTTGATCTACACAGGTTAGACATTGAATGTGATTTTGGAGTTAATATCTTCCGCAGTAAATAATATTTTATGAGAATGAAAACAATGAACAGCCAGGCTCCTTTCCCTTCAAATTTCTACACTTAGATTAAAAATTAAAAAAAACTGTGTCTAGTTAATTAAATAATGGCACTCAACATTCATTATTGATACTATATATATATATATATATATATATATATATATATATATATATATATATATATATATATATATATATATATATATATATAACTCATACAATACTTTGTGTTGACAAATCAACCAATTTTGTTTTTTGTCGCGGAGTTTAATTGCACACACGTTAAATAAACTGAACGAAAGGAAGAATACGAAGAATCTATTTATCTTTGTAACTTTTGAAAACTAAAAGAGCAAAGTATGTTGAATAGTACGACAAAGACGTAAGTATTAGTGTTATTTAGGCGAATATTTTGTTTTGTGGGTTTGCTGCAGTTGAATGTTTAACCGACATTAGTCCCTTTTATCAGTGTACGCGTTACTTTTCTATTTGGATGATAAGAGATATATCGTGTGGCTCAAGGGAGTTGTGAAAGATAGGATATAAAACAGAAGCTTTCATGTTATTAATTTATTTCATGTTTTTACGAATTAAAAATAACACAAAAACACCAAACATAAAGATCATAATTTATAATCTCTTTTCTGGTATTTCATCGAAGAAGAAAACCTTTTCATTAGATCTGATAATACATGACATAAGCACAGCTGTACAAGAGGTATAAGGAATAGCGAACCCGAGGAAAATTGATCAGAAAATAATGTTCTGATAGTAATTACACATTTCATTGAATACAGACACGAGAATTAGTTCCATTAAGACAATTAATACCTTTACATTGGAGGAAATTAGAGGTTTGCATCAGATTTCACTCGGAATCTATCGGAAATCCGCAAAATTTCCGCTACCAAATGAGCTCAAGAAAAAAAGAAATTAGTAGTTAATTAGACTTGATGATTTTGTACATCATCCAAAACAAGACATACGACATATTGTCATTATAAACGATGAATTTCCCTAGAAAATTGGTCGAATTATGTCATAAATCATTTTTTTGAAGACATTTCTCTGATAGGTCGACTTTTTCTTTCTTCTAACGTGTACATAGAACTTATTAAGTCTTAACTAATAAAAGAATAAAGTGCACCCATACATTCCATTTCAAAATCTTTATCTTGTGAAAGCACTAAATTGTCATTTGGTTTCAAGATTTTTTAAGAATCATTTTTGTTTTATTTTCAATACTCAGAAATTGATCCAAAAAAAAAAAACAAACAAACAAACAAAAAAAAAAAAAACATAGGCACATGGGACCCAACGCTCACCTGAGTCATTCTCGCCCTATTGTTCTTCATCAGCAGATTTTTTTCGCTATGTATTCCTATATAAAAATTTGCTCACCTATTGTCCGACCCTGCCCCCGGGGGCCATGATTTGAACACACCTGAATAAACACTACCTAATGATGCTCCCAAATAAATATCACAATTGGATTTGATGTTTTTGAAAAGAAGATTTGTTAGTATTTGTATGTACTTTGTAAAACTTTGACCGCCCATTGAGCCCCACTCTACCTCCGGGTTCATGATTAGAGCAAAAAAACTTGAATGTACAGTACCTGAGGATGCTTCTATGTAAATATGACTAATGATGTCTTTGATGTTCTTAAGGAGAAGATTTTGAAAGATTTTCCCTAAATATTCCTCTTTTTAACTTTGATCGTCAATAGCGGCCCATGCAACCCCGCAGGTTGTGATATGAACAAATTTGACGTATCTACACTAACTGAGGATGTTTTATAAATTTTAATAATCATGGCTTTGCTGTTCTTCAGGAGAAGATATTTAAAGATTTTTACGATATTTTACTATGTTTAAATTTGATCGCTCATTGTGGCCTCACCCTACCACTCCTGGGGACCATGATTTGAACAAACGTAAATCTACACTGTGTACTGAAATTTTCAGATAATTTCATCTTATCTTGTCCAGTGGTTGTTGTGAAGATTTAAAAAAAAAAAAATTACATTTTCGCTAATTCTTTATTACCACCACCACCACCCCCCACCCCCCTTGAAAGAGGACGTGACCTTTCATATGAACAAATCTGAATCCTCTTTACCCATAAATGCTATGTACCAAGTTTGGTTGAAATTGGCCCTGTGGTTCTGGAGAAGGAGGTAAAATTGTGAAAAGTTTACAACGACGACGACGACAACAAGAACGACATACAACGGACAAATTGATCATAAAAGCTAACTAGAGTCTTCGGCTCACGTGAGCTGAAAAACATGATAAAATTTTAAAGAGTTTGTGTACAACTAAAAAAAGAGTCTTTTCATTTTAAGAAGTGGAATGTTACCTCTTATATTTCAGGTTTTACGGGTTGTAGTATATATTGCAACTTTAATAGGAAGATAATGGTTTAGTCAAGTAGTATCCTCCACGCCTGTGTCGTTTTGTTTAGGTAGGGGGCTTTAAATATGGACAGTTTTGTTATCTTTGACCATTTGAATCTTTGCAGATTTATGCAGAGATGTATTTCACCCTTAGAAATAGCCTTATCTACTATTACAATTCTTCTAAGTACATGTAACTTTGTCTTTTGTCAACAAACAAACAAACCGTCACAATTCTGAGTATATGTACATGTAGCTCTATCTGTTAATGGCAATTCTGAGTCCATGAACATGTATAGCTTTTTCTACGATGACAATTCTGAATCTATCTATATATAGCTTTATATACTAATGATACTAATGATAATTATGCGTCTTTTTACATGATAAGTAGCTTTATCTACAATAATGATTCTGAATCTTTGTTTAAATAGCTTTATCTGCTAATGGCAATTCTAAATCTATGAACATGTAGCTTTATCTACTATGATAATTCTGATTCTATGTATATATAGCTTTATGTACAATGACTATAGTAAGTCTATGTATATTAAGCTTATTTACTATGATTATACTGAGTCTATGTACATGTAGCTTATATGCTATGATAATTCTGAGTTTATGTATATGTAGCTTTATCTGCTATGATAATTCTGAGTTTATGTATATGTAGCTTTATCTGCTATGATAATTCTGAGTTTATGAACATGTTTCTTTATTTGCTAATAAATATTCTGAGTTAACATCCATGTAGCTTTTCCATCTATAATAATTCTGAGTCTAATTTGACTACACTTTACATGTAGTTGTATCTTGAAAGAAAATTCTGAGAGTATACACATACAGCATGCATTATCTACGGATTTTTCTGTTTGTCTTTTATGAAAGGGAGCACACGACAGATGTGATCTGTCGACAGGGAATGCTTACTCCTTCATGGCATCTGATCCCATCTCTTATGTTAGTAGAGGTCTGTGTTTGTACTGTTCTCATGGACTTGATAACTGTTCGTTTTCTTCATATTTCATCTAGCTATTCCGTACTTGTAGGTATATCTAGATAGAACATTCTGAGAATTTATGCACATGTAGTCTGATTTAGCTTCACTGTTTATGTAGCTGTATCTAGATAGATAATTCTGAGTCTACGTACATTTAGCTGTATCTAGATAGATAATTCTGAGTCTACGTACATGCATCTCTATCTCGAAAGACAATACTAAGTCTACGTACATGTAGCTGTATTTAGATAGAGAATACTGAGTCTATGTTTATGTAGCTGTATTTAGATAGAGAATACTGAGTCTATGTTTATGTAGCTGTATTTAGATAGAGAATACTGAGTCTATGTTTATGTAGCTGTATTTAGATAGAGAATACTGAGTCTATGTTTATGTAGCTGTATCTAGATAGAGAAATCTGAGTCTATTCAGGGTTATCTAGGTCGACTATCTTTGATTGACTGATTGACTGATAGAAAATTTTGAGTCTACGTACATATAGCTGTATCTAGATAGAGAATTCTGAGTCTATGTACATGTAGCTGTATCTAGAAAGAGAATTCTAAGTCTATGTACATATGGCTGTATTTAGATAGAGAAATCTGAGTCTACGTACATGTAGCTGTATCTAAATAGATAGAGTCTACGTACATGCATCTCTATCTCGAAAGACAATACTAAGTCTACGTACATGTAGCTGTATCTAGATAGAGAATTCTGAGTCTATGTACATATAGCTGTATCTAGATAGAGAATACTGAGTCTATGTACATATAGCTGTATCTAGATAGAGAATACTGAGTCTATGTACATATAGCTGTATCTAGATAGAGAATACTGAGTCTATGTACATATAGCTGTATCTAGATAGAGAAATCTGAGTCTACGTACATGTAGCTGTATCTAGATAGAGAATTCTGAGTCTATGTTTATGTAACTGTATCTACTATCTAGAAAGAGAATTCTGAGTCTATGTACATATAGCTGTATTTAGATAGAGAATTCTGAGTCTATGTACATATAGCTGTATTTAGATAGAGAATACTGAGTCTATGTACATATAGCTGTATCTAGATAGAGAATACTGAGCCTATGTACATATAGCTGTATCTAGATAGAGAAATCTGAGTCTACGTACATGTAGCTGTATCTAGATAGAGAATTCTGAGTCTATGTTTATGTAACTGTATCTACTATCTAGAAAGAGAATTCTGAGTCTATGTACATGTAGCTGTATCTACTATCTAGAGAATTCTGAGTCTATGTACATGTAGCTGTATCTACTATCTAGAGAATACTGAGTCTATGTTT